CTGCCCCAACAGACCTACAAGCAGGATGCTGCTTTCCAAGCTGCCAGGCTGCATATTGGCAATCAGATCGGTACTGGCAGGTATGGCTGATGAATAATCAGCCATTGGTATTGGCCAAAAAAGTCTTTATCAGTCCACCCCTAGATGAACTTACATTTGCAAGAGGAACAAGGCAAAGTTCACTCTGTGTTACCATTTCTTCAGCCCCCTTGAAAAACAGTCACTAAACCAGGCATGTACCCATTTGCAATATGTTTAGAACACATGAGGATTAGGCTCATGGTTGGAGAGAGAAAATATGTAGGTTTAAGAGAGAAAATATCCTATGTAGACAAAGATAATTTTCAAGGATGCAGCCTGCTTTGTGCCTTTCCACTGTATGTACTTTGGCACAAATATTTCTTTTTCAGAAGCATTTCCCTATCAGGGCTACATACCATTCTGCTACAACTCATGGAACACTACATGGACCTGGCATTTGCTTAGAGAATTTTTGGTAATGTGAGTGCAATAAGCCCCAGTGTATGACAGAAAATATGCAGTTCACCAAAGCTCAAAGACAACTTGGTGTCTGTTCAGTTCAGTATCTTGAGCTGCAAGCCTTTAAACAACAGCAACATAGTCATGGGCTAGAAATTCCATTCCATTTCGTCAGACTGCATTTCAGCGCAAGAGCAGAATCCCTAGTTACAAATTCCTTATAGCAGTAAAAGAGAGAGTCACCCTGTTCCCGGTAAGGACAATGGTAGATGAACACAGGCAGAATCAGCCTCTCAAACATGGGAGAAAAGCACCATGCTGCTGCACATCCTATTTGTACCCCTTGATTTATTTTTAGCTCTTCCAACAGCTCATCTTCCTGATTTAGGCGGCTATATATAGAAACACATAATAGGTGGGTAGGAGGAGTGTTTCAGTAACTGGCTACCATCAATTTTTCTGTCCTACCAACCTGCATGACATTGCCAACGATGACACTATCAATGATCTCAGGAGAGACTTTCCCAGCAGATAGTGCAGCACGAGCAGCATACTCAGACAGGTCAGTGGCTGTGAAATCTTTGAGCAAGCCTCCATAAGCCCCAAAAGGTGTTCGCTTGGCTGAAACAATAAATACACCTGCAACACACAAAAAGAAAAATGCATTTAGATTAGAAGGACGATGAACAAAATTGCTTACATTTTGCTTAAGCAAGATACAGGACACAACGGCAAGAGAAGAGAACAAATGGACACTTAATAAAGCACAGAGGAAGGGCATTTTGCACTCAAAAGCGTGTTTAACATCTTTCCCAATTATACAACTGGTCCAATAAAAGATATCACCAAAAATCCCTTGCTTCACTGAATAAAGAGCCATTTTGGTTGAATAGCAGAGGTAGAAAAAGCCATCTAGAAGGACAGTGAAGCTACAAGCACTTAGAGAACTGGATGACTCCACCAACAGCAGTTGAATTCGGTACCATTAGTAACCCACTGTTTTCACATGCATGACCTTGATTTGACAAGTCCATTGTTAAAATTGTATTTAGCACAGTAAACGTTCATAGTAGTTAGACTTACTAATTTTTTTTTTTTATTTTAAGCTTGCTAGTTCATTAATTTTTAAATAAAAATATACAAAACTAGTTTTCCTTTCCAGTGAGTAACCTGGGGCAGAGTCCTTGACAACTAAGGTAACTTTGCCAAGTTACATAAGAGTCTATCTAAATCTCACTAATTAAGATTTTGCCTCAAAAAATGTATGCCTTCCAGCCACCAAAATGCAATTCATTATGCACACCTGGCAGAGAGCATCCGGAAAATTCAGAAGCCAGTGATCAGCAAAAGGAGTGCAACACAGGAGATGCCGACTCACCTTGGTGACCTTTTAGTGCCCAGCAGTTCTTTACACCCTTGTCCAAGGTGTAAGAAAAAAAACCCCACCGAGATTTATTGCTCTCCTTCACAGGCATCAGGAAACTTTTAGAGTAATTTCTATTTACTGGAGGTCAACACCAGAACACAGCAGAGAATTAAATTGTACAGAGCATGCCATGGCTTCCCATGCTCTACCCTTTCCTTCACAGAATATCTAAATCAGTGTTTCCCTAACTTTGGATACCTAAGACATACTTTTTTTCTAAATTAAAATTGGTGGCACACTTCACTTTTACATCAGAAAAGACACACACACACACACACACACACACACAATGACTACATAAGTCTTACACAGACACACAGAATAATACTACATAAGACTTTTGTAGTGATGCCCAACCTTTTGGCCCTGCCAACCAGATGAGTTGTGCTGGCTCAGTCTGCCGGCTCACAGGGTTGATCCTGCTATGCAGGCCCTGTAAAATTGGCAGTTGAAGAGTGGTGGTAGTGTTAATTATCATCACTCCCATGTTTCCAGCCCTGTGAGGAGCCCTGCAGGCCACATCACATTGCTGCAGAGGCTAGATCGGGTATAAAGCATCATTTTTCACACCACACTTCTGCCTCTCTCATGGCACCACAGCACATTCTTGGGAATCACTGATCTAAACCAGCTTGTCCTGGAAATCCTTTTCCGCACCCCATAATGAACATAGCTGAAAAAGTTAAGGGACCACAAGAGGTAACCTGTAAAATCTTGGATCCAGACAAGAGGTAAAGAAGGTAAGGAGGCAAAGAACAAACATCAGACATGAACTCTTGCGCAGTCTGAACACTGCAGGCTAATCCCGCTCTGCAAAACCACCAGAATAACTTGTTGAGGCAGGCACCATTTCATAACTCAAGACCTTGAATCCTGAGCTAAAGTTACGCTCTTAGCCAAATCAAAAACCTAAATAAAAAGCATTTTTGTAGTGCAGCTACACATAAGGCCTGATAAAGGTACCACTGTATTTGGCACTTCACTCAGTCGTATCAAAGACAGTCCCAGCCCCGAGGTGCTCCCAGTTTAAGTAAATGAAGGAATGACTTTTCACTTTATTCCCAAGACTACTTTTCACTGTGAATGTATTACTATTAAGAGACAGGTTAACTTAAAATGTAACTGATGTCTAGTAACTCCATAGGCCTGGACAGGATGTTTAAAATTCATGCACCACCAACAAGTTGGGAAGATTTAAGATTTGGGGACATCCCTAAATCTCAGAGGGCAAAATGCTGACATGAAGGGCAGTCAGCAACCTCACAATCACCAAGAAACAAAATTATTCCTACAAGCCTGCAGTCCCTGGACAATAATATTAGGCTGGGTCTTTAACCACGCCACTTAATGGGTTTATCCAAGCTTTTTCGTCAGCAAGATCTCTCAATAACAAGGTGATAACAAATAATGAGAGCACAATTTACCTTTGCCTTCACAAACAAACCTCCTTCCAAAGGTTAAATGACATAGAAAGAGCAATGATCTAAGAGAGATTGGGCAAGACTATGACCCCCAGACAGATACTCTCCTGTTTAATCAGTCCCCACCGAGTCCCAGGACCTGCTGGTCAACCTCCTCCCGGCCTTAGCCAAGCTAGCCATCTATCTCACCAGGCAGGAGGCTCTGGCTGGGACGACCCTAGAGGACTGTAGGGCCACTTTCCTGTCCTTGGTCTGATCCCATCTCTGGGAACAGCTTCATTGGGCAGTGTCCACTGGCTCCATTGACTCATTCAAGGGCACTGTCCAACATGCTTCCTCCCCAGCGCACTAGTTTTAAACCTTTGACCTCCACTCCTGTCCGTTTTATCATCATTTGTCCCAAAAAATCAGTGATGCGTCCCTAGTGGCCTCCTCATCACGGGGGGCTTATAGTTTCACCTGGTGAGCTTAGGCCCACGATTCCCCACAGGCCTGTTTAATCAGAGCCCCGCCTGGCCAACGTTCGACTGTCACCCATGGCTTTCACAGTTGTCCAGCTGGCCTAAAACATGACACCATGGCCCAGAACGCCCCTCGTCCAAACGATCCCGCGCAATTTCAATGTGGCCCACGAATGAGCACTGCTTTCCCTCTGGGTCACTCCCAAACATTTTCTTGTAACCTGAGGACTGCTCTTGCTCGGCTGTCGATCGAAGAGGACAACTAAAAACCAGATGGGAGGGCGGGCGAGTGGGGTCATTCCCCACAAGGGATGGTCACGTATACACAACGTGCCCCATGTGGCAGGCAGAGCTGGACGACAGGCGGGTACAGCCGGGACGATGCTTTCGCTGCGATGGTCCAGGAGGCACAGGCCGGGCAAGGTCTCATAAGGCCCCATCTGCCCCTCACACTCCAGGTGCGACTGAGCAGTGGATTGCAACTGCAGGGGCCACGCTGACTGGGGAAACAAAGAAAGGAACCAGCCACAAAGTTAGTCCACAAAATCTGTGGACTAAGGGGCCTGTTACACTTTACCCCATGAGCCCACAAGTGCCGATCGGTGTCAGCGCCGGCTTGGAGCAATCGCACCTAAAGGCTAAAAACCTTCTTGGACAGCGGTGACTTGCCGCTACGGGCCTGCGAGCGGGGGCAGGACGAGGAGCTGGGGCTGCAACTTGCGGCTGGTGAAAGGGGACCGGCTGGTCCCTGCTCTCGGGACAGGGGTGACGGAGATCCTGGGGGACGCACCTCGCGGTGCGGCACAGCACACCTGTGGGGAGCAACAGCACCTCAGCGGCGCGGCTAATCCTGCCCTGCAGCCGTGTCATTGACAGAGACATAATCCGTGTTTAAAACCACTTGTACGTGTCAGCGCAGGGATTGAGAGCTCCAGGAGCCGCCCAAAAGCACCAGCAATAGCGCCGCGCTGCTTCCTACCCACCAAATGAAGCGCGGGGGATGGCTGGGACCCCGTCAGATGCGGGGGCACTCCCAGCCGACAGGACTTGCCCCCCAAAACCCCCCGGCCCGGCCCGGCCCCGCGCCTCACCTCGCAGCAGCGCCATGGCCAGTCTACCCGCGCCGGAAACGGACCGCCCCTCCCCCCTCCATGACCTTTCACCCACTTCCTCCCGGCCCCTCCCCCAGGACTGTGCGGCGGGACCCGCACGTTGGGCCGCGGCGGTTGGAGGGCGCCGCTGCGGTGAGTACGGGCCGGGGAATGGGGGCTCCTGTGTGTGTATATCTTGTTTTATTATTTTATATATCTAGTTGTGTGAGGGGTTGTTTTAGGGGCGGTTCGTGCCTCTGGAGCGCGGCCGCCGCGCGCGGAGACGGTTGGAACCGTTGGGATTCGAACGCGCTGCGCCGCGGTTGCCTGGCAACGGCCCCGCCCTGCTCGTCTGAGGCGAGAGCGGTGACCCCAGCCGGCGACCCCTCAGCCCGCTCTCGGCCTTCCCGGCTGCGGCAGGGGCTGGGGGAAGGTGGGACAGGACAAGGTGGGCGGGGAGGAGGAGGCAAGCCCTGGTCGGTGATGAGGAGCCCACTGCGCAATCCGAGCTGCTGGTAACAGCATGATGGAAATGGTGCTGAGGAAAGCCCCTGAGACCAGGGGAGGGTGGGCAGCAGGGGCAGGGCAGGGGGCGCTAACACCCACCAAGCAACACTCATCCCCTGCCCCGCTTCTCTCTGCCGCAGGAGATGCCCAGCACAGGCCGCAGTTGCGGGACACGGCGGAAGAGGAGCCGCGCATGCGGCAGGGAGAGAGGAGCCGCGGGGACGTGACTGGTCAAGCTGCTGAGACCTTGGCGCAGTCTCCGCGCAACAGGGCGGACATATGTGTGGCTCGCGGCACGGGGAGGTGGGCTGGTCTGCGAGGGGCTTTGTCGTTCTGTGCGGAAAGTTGCTGTAATGGTGGGAACGCCGCCTCGCACCGCGTAGTCCGCGTTACGTGCCTCACACGCTTGACTGGGTGATCACGTACTAAATTTAGACTGGCCACGAGTGCAAAGTAACTATCACACGATGAACTGGTCAGTCGCACAGTAATTGCCACACGTGCAAAGTAATCGTTAGGGATCTGGGTTCGCCATTTGCCACAAAAAAACATGGTGAAACCAGACTTTTCTCATTTTAAGGAGAACAACCTGGGGAAAGGTGGGTTTCCCCTTGCAGATTGGCAGAGCACCAGCCTGCGAGGGGCTGGGGGGAGCGGGAGGAGGGCGGTCAGGCAGGGGCACCATGTGCATGTGCGCACATATACGTGCACATGGCCACCAGGCAGCGGTGGAGAGCAGCTCTCACAGGTAAGTCTTGGGGTGGGATTGAGGCCCCTGTAGTGAGAGAGAGTTGGGCAGGGCTGGGCCTGGGGTGGTGCGTGGAGCCTGGGGCCACGTGTGGCAGCAGGGCCTGGGCAGGGAGGGGGACGGGCAACTCATCTAGGGGACAGCGGGGGGTGGGGGCTGCTCACGGCAGGCTGGGGGCTCCCTGCCCTGCTGCTCTCCCCCTGGGGCCTCTGCAACCCAGCAAGTGGGGTCAGGTGCGGAGACTTGTTGCCGCTGCCAGGAACCCCATGCTACCATGCTAAGGCACCCCCTGCCTGCCCAGCAGCAGTGGGGGTGGTGGCACAGAGTTGTAGAGAGCGCCTTGCCATGGTGGCATGGGGCTCCCAACACGAAGCCGAGCCTACCCCTCTCAGCTGTGCCACACTGGGTCCCGTCCACTAAGCTGCGGAGGCCCCAGGGGGAGGGCAACAGGGAGGGGCACCCCCGAGGCTGCAGTGGGCAGCCTGCATCCACCCCTGCCTCATGGGCTCCACTCCAGCCATGCTGCCCACAGGGGAGGGAGAGCTGGGAGCCATGTTCCACTCGGTCTGCAGCGATCTCTGTCTTCCTCAAGCAGCAGCCAGGGCAGCTAGGGGCCCCCATGGCAGGGCTGGGGAGGGCAGGTGGCTATGGGTGGGGCTTGAGGGGCACCGGCAGGGCTGTGGGTTGGGAGTGAGGGACAATGGCACGGGCAGGACACCAGCATATTAGGGCTGCTCAGTGCCTAGCAGCAGGGGGGGGGGTAGCTGCAGCTGGACTTGTGTCCTGGTGAGCAAAGGGGGCAGGGAGAGCTCTAATTTTCTATGATAAACTCAAAATCAAGCACCAAAATTTATAGGTATTTAAGATTTATTTTATTATGTGATTGAGGCACTGGTAGGCTTCCAATTTGCTTAAAAACAGGACCAAGTGGCTTTAGAGAGAAATTAAAATCGGGTATTAGGGGGAAAGGAAATCAACTTTGATGGTAATCTATTGCCATGCCTAACCATCTTAAGAGGCTGAGCAGTTTCCTTACAAGTTTTCAAGATAAACAAGTTTTCAGGTTAAACAAACATTTGGATTGGTTTTAGACAGGGCTGATCCTGCCTTGAGCCAGGGACTGGGGTAAGCGATGAAAGTAGTACAGGCTTAAACATGACTGTGGGCCTTTAGCTCACAGCTCAGTCATCAAATAATCCTTCGCAGCACCTGGGCAAGTCATGAGACCTCCACATACCTTGGGCAAAATGAGAAAGTGACATCATCTGTAAATTGCCTAGCTGTATGAAGTAAAAGTATTACATAGGCATTTAGAGCCTACATAATATTTTGGAAGAGTCTAAACTGGTTCAATCCGTAACTTTAATTGATTTTAAAAAGTCCCTCTCTCCCATTTATATGTTTAAGCACTTGTATACATTTGAAAGTCTGACACAGGGTCTGTGAATCTTGTTATGTACATTTAATAGCACCAAAAAACAAAAAAACAACAAAAAAGCTGGGGGAAGCCTTGTTTATTCTTTGGATCAGACCCAGTCTAGAAGTGTATTTTTCTTAAGTGCAAAAGGTTCCATATGAGGAAGCAGTGCTGTGGATCCAGGGCATATATCTCTCAGGTCTTGGCCAGGGTACAAAACATGGCAGCATTTGCTGTTACTGGCTCTTTGGCCACCTGTACAATTACAGGGTACGCGTCTGCAGCTTGCCTAGGATGTTTTCCTCCCAACTCTTAAAGAGAGCAGGATGTTTCCAGCAGACTAGGATTTGGGGAATGGGGAACAAAAAAAATTATTGCTTCAAATTTCAATATAGAGTGGTTGTTTTAGCAAGTGTTTCAGATTTAAGGCAAGCAAGAATTTTGTTTAACAGGTTGTATCTCAGGTAGCTTGAATCATTTAAGAAAATGGGATACCTAGCTTTCCAGATAAAATCTGATTATAATTAAATGATGACTGATTTTTTTTTTTTTTTTAGATTAGGAACATGGGTCAGAAAACTAGTGCGTCAATGCCATACTTGCCATGTGACAGAGAACTGCTTTCTTCATGCCTGTGCTCTAGCAAGGATCATGTCCCAGTAAATCACTATTGATTGTGTATTTTTAAAATCTGAAGAATACAAAAAGTTAGGAAAACAGTGTCACTTGTAATAACTGCAGCCTTCTCCAGTTTTCTGCTTGAGGTTGATTGATTACATTGAGTCTGCCATCAATGATAACTCTAAGGGTACCAAAATTGTCATTTTTTTGTTTTTTACTGGTGCTAGTTTGCTGTACTAATGCTTCCTTTTCTAAGATGGAGTTGTGAAATTTGAATAGCGGGGTAACCGAATTTAATATTTCTTGCCGTTCAGTAGATATTGTCAGGATTCATTTGCCAGGCAATCTTGAAACAAGCCACTTCCTGTACTAGCCGCAAATGTTCATGAGGGAAAAAGAGAGGAATTTGGTTTTAAACATAGAGCACATGGCCATGCACAACTATAAGTATGACTGCAAATGTTATTTTCAGATCTATTAGATGCTCCCAATGTGGATCCTATTTTAATAGCCTCAAAATGCACATTACCATCGGTGGTATTTAGTCTGCAAAAAAGAAGGTGGGGGAAGAGGAATGAAGGAAGGGGAAGGAAGTATTGACAACAGTTTTCAAATATATAAAGGGCAGTTATACAGGAGGAGGATGTTAGACTATTATCTGTGGTTGCAAGGTACAGGGCACAGAGTAACAATCTTAAATTGCACCATAGGAAACTTAAGTTGGATATTAAGAGAACTTTCTTACTCTGACAGTGGTTAAACATTGAAACAGGTACCCAGATAGATTGAGGAATCTTTGAACTTGCAGGTTTTTAAGAGCAGGTTAGACTAACATTTGTGTATGATGCTAGAGAGAAAGAGAGAGAGAGCCCTATTAGTCTGAATTCAGGCAGAAGGCAGGACAGGGTGGCACCTTAAAGACAAATTCAGAGAGAATCTTTTTTAGGTAACAGCCTAGTCAGAGATGATCCTGCCTTGAGCAGGGTGATTGGACTAGATCATTGTTTCTCAGCCCATGGGTCGTGACCCAAAAGTGGGTTGCAAGAATATATAAGAGGGTCGTGAACAAACTTTAAAATTGGATTCTCCCTTAAAAAGAGAAAACATGTGAGAAACTATGGCTTTTCCCTTGCAGACTGTCAAGAGTTGCAGTCTGCAAGGAGCTGCTTGGGCATCCCTCTCCCTCACACACACTCCTCCCTGCCCCACACACTAGGAGTCTGGGGGTGGGGGGCAGTGGGTTGGGACTGGCCAAATGTTTACAAATGGGTCCTGGTATGAAAACGTTTGAGAACCACTGGAGTAGATGACCTCCTGAGGTCCCTTCAAGGCCTACTTCTCCGTGATTCTGTATGGGAAAGCTATATCAGCATATTTTCAGCTCTTTTCAGAGCAGCAACATGTACTTTGTCCCTGGAGGAGAAAGATTTACCCCCTGCTGCTCTATATTTCATCTCCCTCTCCCACTGGGTTACTATATCTCTGCTGAGCCGAGGGAGAAATACCATCCTTGTGGTAACAGCAGCTCTTCCAGCTTATCTGCAGGGCTCTGCAGTCTAATGTATGCACTCTTGAGTTTTTAATTATTGTACAATACTTCACTCACATGGAAGTCACTTCCAGTGACTTAGTGTTTTGTATCTTACCTTTGATGGTACAGTCATAGGTAAAAGCTTTCAGTTGGATCATTTGTTACTGTTCAAAGTGTTCTGAAGTCCTCAACTGGAAGCTACTGTTGAAAAGCAAACAACTACTACTACATTCTCAGGGCTGTCCAAAAAGTTGCAACTTAATTTATTCAAAATTATTTATTTCACAAATTTTTATCCACAGCTGAATATTACAGTAACCATTACGAGCATTTTCCTATAAACAAAGGTGTAGTTTACAGATTGTTCAAAATGGAAAAAATATTATTTTATCAGCAGTAGTATTTCATCTACACTATCAGGATTCACCCTCAAGTACCATTCGACTTCCTTCAGAGCAGCTGTACCTTCTGCTTAAGGTAATGAGACTTCACAACAAAAAATAGGTCTTACATTAGTATCAGAGTGCATGTTTTTTTGGATAGTTTTTCCTTTTTTAAATTTCAGTGGAGTTTGAAAGTTTGTATTTACTGGCACTTGTACTTTTAAAGAAGAAATTCTATAAACTTGAGGGGAGTATATTCTCTCAGGTGTTTCACTAACATTCACTCTTATCATTTCAGAAAGAAAATGTTTAGTTATGGTTATTATATGCAATTCAGTAAGAGTAGAAGTGAAGGTTTATGGTGCTTCATGCAATTCACTTTAATTAGATTGGCACATTTAAGTGCAGTCAAACTCATCTCAATTCTAAACTGTGCAATTATGTCAGTCTGACAAGAACAAATAAGTTTATATAGTCAGGTAATGGGTTTATACTGAACAGGGAAGAAAACATGACCTAGTGTTTGCAGATCTTGCTTGTACTGTACAAAATGAAGGCTGGATCTTGGAAATGCTTAGAGAAGAGCTTAACTACACTGGGTTTGATTCTCCACTTCGTTGCACAGGTCTCACAAGGAGACAATCAATCCAGGGACTACTCAGGTAAGTTATTTTATGTGGGGGAGGGTTACAGTTCTGTTGTCCTTACTCATATGCAGGCAAGTAGTCCCATTGGATTTAGGGGAGTAATTCAGTAAGCAGAAGAGTCCTGCATGAGCAGGAGCTGCACAGTTTAGTTCTACAAGCT